CTGCTGTTAGATACATTGAGTAAGAATGGCCTAGATATGGTGACTATCTAGATTGTAGCTTTTCCATTTTATGTACTATGTTTCATATTCAGAGATTTAAGTGTGCTTGTGTTACAGCATCTCTGTTTTGCTTTCTCTTTTTCTTATTCCCTTTGAATTACTTCTAAGTATAAGAGATGGTTGTGTTACGGCATCTCTGTTTTGCTTTCTCTTTCTCTTATACTTAGAAGTAATTCAAAGGGAATAAGAGATGACTGTATTGTTCTTGAGAAACTGGCTGCATCCTAGTTAAATAAAACCAGAGCTGGGCCGTTCTGTGGGTGCTGCTCTAAACCAGTGAGACCTTTCCCATATAGGGTTAGGATATTTGTGTAAAGCTTGAGATGAGTCACTTGCTTGGATTTCCCATGTGATACAACATTACATGAAATCCAAAATAGTTTACTTTTATGCAGAACCAACCTAAGATCTTCAGTAAACTGATACAGTTAATGATGCATGTCCGTGCTTATGCATCATAATTTAAAGCTCTGGATCAAAACCCGTAGGAAATAGTTTCTGATTTTGTTTAGATTTACTGAAATTCAACTACATGTAACCTAAAGCTCTGCAACTCAAATACAGCCAGTCCCATTAGGAAAAAAAATGGATTAAAACATAGGAAACAAAGTTTGAAAGAATAAATTCAAACTTGTATCTGTAAATAGTTTATTTTTAGTTGAGACTTAAAGGAGCGTATCATTATAAAGAGTATATAAAATATTTCACAACTTTTTATAAAATATGGGAAATACAACTACTTTCTTGTAAATTAATTGAGATAGTTATCAGAAAGCATAGTCTTGAAACCAAAGAGATTTGTATATTTAGTAAAATCTGAAATTACATACAACTTCATACTTGGGACTGCATCATATAGTCAACGAATTAAAGACATTTAGATGCGTGCTTTGGAAATTATGCTGTATTCCATAGGAACAGACAAAAAGAGGTTTTCAAAATGCGGTACTTGCTATTTGCTAAATGGACAAAGTTTGAGATATGATCATTTGCTATTTTCTTCAAGTTCTAATTTTTTTCTTCCCACTGTTGCTTTGTTCACCGTCTACTGTGAGCTCTGAGCTGCAAAATGCTATAGCACAACTGAGTCTAGTTGTGTGTTTAGAATGTGGGGTATTCAGCAGTAGATATATGCAATAAGAGATAGATGACTTTGCAGATTGCTCTCGCATTTTGCTTTTTGCCTTGTTTATCCTGTGTGCTAGGGATCCTTTTTCAAGCAAGCCCCAGATTTTTGCAAAACCAAAATCTGACCGTTCTAAACAACAGAGCTAGTGCCTTTTTAAGCCAAGTGTTTAAACTTTAAGCGTTCAGCACTTAAACACTCTGAACGTCAGTATTTCGTATTAATTGGCAAATATTATTTTGGGGAGAAGGGAATAGTCGCTGGTACTTCTTGGTGAAGCTGTGCTTCTCTGAAACCTGCATCTTGCATGACTCTCACTCTGGGCTTTCTGTTTCCAGAAATGACAAAGGCACTTAGAATTCAAATGCTGTTTGAAACAAAATCAAGAACAGAAGCAACAGCTGAGGAAAAACTTCTTGGTGGATGGTTGCATGGCAGCTTGCTTCTTCAGTCCTTCCCTGGTATTTTTCTCACAATGCTCATTTAGTTTAAAAACAAAACAAAAATCCCCCTAGAAAGGATTCCCCTGACAGAAAAGCTCAACTATATACCTATTTGTATGCATTAGACATTGAAAGCGATTGCAGTAGGAGTGTTTGATTTGCTTGCCTTTTTTTAATCTTAAAAAAAAATCAGTTTTACCTAACCAGCATTTTGGATAGGTTACTAGTTTTGTGCATTTCTGTTGCTTTCCGATTGCTGTTTGAATGTAGCTTGAAAGAAATAATGAGTAAATGTGAAATATGAATTCCCATTTTAAAACTGGTAAAGATAATTGATAACTATGTATATTTATATAAAAGTGAATAAATACTTCAGTAAATTTACTCTATCAATCTGTAATAATTAGACCGGGGGGGGGAAGATATGAAAACTAGGCTTAAATGAGACTTTTAAAACAAAATTTTCCTGCTTGCTGCATAAATTTATTGGTTTAGCCCAAGATGATCAAAATAACTTCTGTGAATAGGAATTTGGACCCCTTTTTGGTGAGTGTACAGGCAATGGTATAACAAGTTACTGCTTCCTAGCTAACATTTCTTTATTTCAAGTAGATTAGGAAAATGAGAGTCTTCTCATAAAGGCCAAAGCTGTGATCCCTGTTGGAAATCGTATACAGGATCTTGCTTCTGATCTCTTTGATGTACACCAGGGTGCTGGAGTGTCTCCTATATCACCAGGGCCCTCCAAGAGGTAACACGAAGTGCCTGGCACCTGCTGAAGGATGTCTGATCACTTGTATTGTGTATTTTGGCAACCTCTTTCCTGTACACTCAGTGTGATCTCTAAGCATAGAGCAAGAAAAATGGCATTGGATGTTACTTGCAGAAGTTACCATTGTTGCCATAGTCTTCTCACCACATGCCCAAATCACAGAACCTCTATTTCTGAGAGAGGTTAATGAGGTCTTTCTTAGAAGACCTGCTTCCTTGAATTAAAAGACTGAACTTCCCCAGCTCAAACAAAAAGCTTCATGTTTTTTGTTCCTAAGTCCCAGTACCCTGGATGCACTCTACTGGAGTAGAAAAGCCTGTGGTTTGGTTTGGTTTATTTAAAAAAAAAAAAAAAAATATGCAGGAGGAAAGAAAGGGAAAATTCAGAGTAAGAAGTAGGTTAAAAATACTTTCTGGTATCTTACATATATAATTAATTTATATATCTATAAAATAAAATATAATTATTTATTAATTTAGGAAAAATTACCCTGCAATCTGTTAGTTTTAGTCATTACTTCCTCCTAGCTTCTCTTCCTCAAGTATTCCGTTTAGATGGGGGAACTATGTCTGAATCTAAAACCAAGAGATCTTTGCTTACTAAAGTAGTCCAAAGTAAGATTTACTGACCTTCGTAAATATTCTTAACAACTAGCTGTAAGCATGAGCCAATACTTGATGAAAGTAACATCATCGTGAAACACCATCTACCTTAATGTACTTTGACAATTACTGTAATTAATTTTATAAGTTCAACAATGGGGGTAATTGTCTGTAAGGGTAAATTTTGAAGGGAGTCTCAGTGAACTTAGTGTTATGCTGATTTACAGCAGGGGAAGATTCAGTTCTGGGATTTCAAATCTAGAGCTGCAGGAATCGGCTCCTGTGGGATATAGTAACAACTACTCATGTTCAAAGGAGCTAAAAAGACCAGGGATTTTTAGAAAGATCTTTTTTTAATAATTCATTTTTCATTTTTAAAAATGTAGGCATAGTAGCAGTTGTGTTGTCAGCGTTGCGTGTTTGTAAAAACTGGCATTTAATCAATATCTATCAAAATGGTACATGAATTTCAGCTACTTTTATGAAACAAAAAAGGTGACAGTCCTCTTTGACAACCGTATAACTTGAGTTTACAGTTTCTATAGTTGTTTCTTATAGCAGATAGCATAGTTCTGTTTTACAATCTCTTTTCTGTTTTTGCCTTCTTCCAGCAACTGATGGTTCTACAAAGAGAGAAGGATTAAATGAAAGTGCAGTAGATGATAACAAACCAAACCTAATACTTATGAGCCTTCATTAAGTGTTCTAGTGTTAACCAACATGTCTTTATTTTTACGTTGAACTGTGATATGCTGAGCAGCACAAACATACCACCTATGCACCCACAGATTTAACATCCGTGGAACTAAATTAAGGCACGGAGCAGTGATACAACTTTCCTAAGGTCATACACAGAGTTAAGAACTTGCCCAGCTATCCCATGTTTTTTATCCGATTCTGTTGGCCACATGATCATCTTTTCCAGCTGTTGTCACTATTTTTAAATAGACTATGCCAAAACATCTATTTATCAACTGCCTCTGCTCTGTGAATCAAAGTACTTGTCTAAGAATGTTTAGATGTTAATCAGTCATGAACTTAGGGACAAGAATTCAGGGTATGTATGTCTTTACTCTCTTCTTCCATGAGACAAAGTAATAGTTTAGAACTGGCAGCTGTTGACCAGGCAAATTATCATCCTTTCTTTTATATCTGCATGAGGTTTTGTGGAACACAACTTGTTAGGTATCTCTGCCAATCCATGACAGTTTTTTCTTAATAAAATAAATAAATAATATCTAGGCCTTGCACAGCTGAATATCCATCCTCTTCGAAAAAACAGAACTCAACCCAGTGCTCATCACTTTGTTGCTGCTTCCTCTTTACTAATGTCCCAATTCAGCAGTCTGTCACTGTATTCCTTGCTGTAGGTGGCTGGTTAGCCTGCTCCATCTGAAATTACGCATCCTTTGTTTAGCTTAGTCTAAGACTTGTTACAGCATTTAACAGCTGCACACACACGGCTAGCTAATGGACGCTCGCTAGTTTCTGTTCTGAGTAAGGTTAGAGTGTTACCTTCATATTTTTGCACTGTACCAAAATATAAATGTACATAATTTTATACAAAGGCCATTCCCATACTCTCCAAATATCTTGAGCTTACTCCAGTGAACCCGTAACAAAGTTAATTCACAATGACTGGTTGTAGCCCAACCTTTTTATCATAGTTTAAGGCACGTAATATGTTTTCATACCTTTACTACCCTTTTTTTGCCAAGATGCTGTAGTTCTTTCAGCTGTACCATGACCTCAAGTTACCAATTGGCACTTTTTGATCTTTAATTGCCTCTTCAAAAGGTTAAACACTCACGTTCAGTCATGTATTACCTATGTCTTCCATAGGAGTCAATGAACTTTAAAGAGTTATGGGAATCCCTCAGATTAATTTTATGAAATCTTTTTGGTAGGTACCTTACTGTTCAATCTCTCCAGAGAGAATAAGACGACATTTTCACTGACAAAATAACAGTTCTCAAAGAAATGAATGACTTTTTTTTTTTTTTTTTTTAAATGAAGAAAGTTTATTGCAGGTCTTTCTTTTACAATTCTAGTAGAAAGTATAGCTAAGAAAGAAAATGAACTATGACCAATTCGTAAGAACGAGCAAAGGAAAAGAGTAAGCTGAATACATTCTATATTGAACTAAGCATTATGGTAAAGATAAAGTCGCATCTATCTGTGACTGCAGATTAAGGATAGCTGCTCCCCAATCCTTGTTTCCAGTGCCTGCACCAGGTGAATGGGGGATAGCACTGACAAACCTCCGATAGCTATTGATGGCAGCTATTTGCAGTAGCTCCTCAATCAGCTCACCCTAAAACTAGGAACTGCTCCATTCATCCTAGCTTAGATAACATGCATCAGGCTTTCTGTTCACAGGTCCAAAGTCATTTTATTTTATCTAATAGGTAGTCTGACCCTGGAGAAAGGTGCGGATGGGACACTTTTGGTTAGGATAGAAAATGGCTAGAACAAAAAGGCTTCCTTGACTCCAGTCTTCGTTATGAATAAATGTCCAGTGCTCATGTTTACATCTCAAGTCACTTTATTTAAATTCATATTATCTAAACACTACCCTGCAGCCTGCAAGTCCGATAACAAACTTGATGCAAAACCAACCATCCTTCCCTCTGTCTCCAATGTTTGTCTCATGATATTTTACAGTTAGTCCACTAAAAAATTTTTTGTGAAAATTTGCCTCTTCGAGTTTAGTAGAAACTTGGCTAAAAATAGAGGCATCAGGAACAGAAGGTGAATATAAGTTTTCTTCCCTTGTCCTCCTCTCCTGCTTTTCTGAGAATCCTCATCAGAAGAACAGAATGGGGCCTGCTTGTACACAGGTGAGGCCAGGTAAATGTTCATCGTCTCACTGCTCATATAAAAATATGGTTAGCTACACAGTAAGTTAGTCTATTTAGAGCCCAAGGCCGTGTGAAATGCAGTTAATTAAACTAACACAGATGATAACTTAAAAATCGTCTAACTTTGCCAGAATCTTTCCCCCACTGCTGTTCTCAAGAGAAGGGCAAAGAGCACTCAAAAAGCATGTTCACTCACCCGCTATTAGAAGATCAGTCTCCCATGACAGAGCCTGCCTTGGGCTCGCCACGAGAGGGTGCACGCAAACTGAAAACAAACTGACGCATGAAATGAAGAGAAATTGTGGCGAGAGTGCAGGGAGCTTCAGTTGGATTTGGTTTCATCAGTCCTACGCACCCGGCTGATCCCCAGCGAACTCGGGAGGTACCGAGGCAGGGACCGTGGGGGATCTGAGTGGCTCAGAAGCAGCAGGGAAGAGGGTCTTGGACCCAGCCACATGAGGATCATCAGCTGCAGCAGTAATTGCAGAAATTTTCTCCATTCCAGCTCTACCAGAGTCCTGACAGCGCTTGCTGCAGAAAATCTGACTCTCTTTATCTAGAGCTGTGTTCTAAAAACAAGCAAAAAAACCCAAGGCAAAATATGAAGAGAGCAGTTAAATCAAAACCCTGTCTTACCTTAGGGGTTAAAACAATCTACAAGACATTCAGTGCATGCATTAGAGCCAGAAAAAAAGGAGAAATAACATTAGAAATCTTATATATCATTAATTGTAGCGTTTTGCGGTGCTGACTTTGGAAAACATAAGGAAAACTTATCTTCCAGACATATGTTTGCCATGATGGTGCAAGTTTAAAATTTTGCCTTGCAAGTCTGATGTAGAAAAAAATTTACACGAGTGGTTATAATATGGCAGGAAATCTTCACACTAGCTATTAGCAAAAACGCTAATAAAAACACTGTGTTTTTGGAGACGCAAGAAATCACATGATGCTTAGCGAAAACTTAATAATACATTTTCTGTAACAAACCACATGGTACAGAAGTGTAGCTGTTTGTTGGTGAAGATGACAGATGAAAACCTAACGATTTTTTCTGTCTTAAAGAAAAGGGTCTACTTTTCTGCTTACTGTTGAGAGTAGGCAAATGACCTACAGCTGACACTGTGGCAAAAATGCATCATTTCTGAATACTATACTTAAAAATTAATTTACTGGAGAAGGGAGTAGTAGCAGGTTAGAATGAAAACTGAGAACTCTATAGTGCAGTAGGTGGATTATCTGGAGTATGTGGTGTGTCTGCTGGAGCCGACAACTTTCATACCCTCTGAAGGATACTACAAGTTATATTAAACCATAGTGTAATGTTTAATTGCAAGTGGAATGTCTAAAGTGACCTAGAGGGAATTCTAGTAGTTCCTGTGTCAAAAATATGTGTCAAAATTGCTTTCTGAGACTTGGAGGGACAGTGTAATTGGTCTTGTTTCACAGTTTGAAGGCTGATACTGATCATTATAAATCCATATACTTCTTTGCTTAACTATTTACTTTGTGGAAGATCTTCAAGTACCAGTGGTAATACAGATTTAAGTTAACAGAGATTAATTAAGTTCTTTGTAGTTTATCAGTTATGTAGAATGGTGCAAGGTACACTTATTCTGGTTACGTACAGCTTGGGCTTTCTACAGTAATCCACAAACATGTGACACGAACTGTGGAGCAGAGCACAAATACATGTTTCACCTTTGTGGCACGCCCACACATGTATGTGTAAGCATTATACGACACTGTTATGTGGAATTTCATATTTTGAGCTGGGATGTGCTAATTGTGTAAAATTAAGGCCAGGTGCTCTGCCTTTTCTTTAGCAATTTCTTTTTTTGATTGATTGCTCAGAAGGACTTGCTTTACTAATGTGAAAATGTCTATGTATTCTTAGTGGAGTTTGTCTAACATACTATTCACTAAAATACGTAGTTTTAGATACTGAAATAATTTTCTGATACAAGTTAAAGTTAGCATGTATTTTTTTTTCAGATGTGGTTTATTGCATCAAAGTCATCAAGGACAGCAGAAATAAGGCACTTATCCTCTTTTTTCCAAACTGATCATATAGCTTGGTAGTGAAAATTTACTTCATTATGGGGTACCTAAATTCAAATTTCTCTTTTACCTGACTTTGCAAAGAGAGCTGGACTAGTATCTCAGATTTCTCAGATAGAGGACTTATAGAATTTGCAGGTATACGGATGGTGGGTTGTTCTGGAATCAGTCTCACTCAGACTCTCCTGCTGAAACTATTTTATTTTTTATAATGATGTGGCTGGGTGCTGGGGCAGGGGAGGTAGCAAGGAGCCTTATAATACCCCTCCTCCCTCCTGCCAGGCTTCTTCAGACCAAAGTACTGAGTATAAAAGTTCCCAAAACAAAAGGTTAAGTATTTTGAATTTAGTGTATTTTGGTTTTGTTGGGGTTTTTTGGTGTTTTTTTTTTTAATTGAGTTACAACATTAGTCTACATGCATACAGGTACAAGGAGAAAATTCAATAGTACACAATTGAATTCTCTGCTACTAACAATCGACTTTGCAAATGGAGCATGCAAGGAAATGATTAGCTGAACTGTAGTTAAGCTTTTGAGATTGGCTATGATGTGCAGTAGTTTTATCATTATCAAAGTAGCTGCTGTGCTGGCAGGATTGCATTTCCTCTTTTGCTTGCTGGAAAAAGAATCGTGAATAAATAGGTTTCTGCTCTTTCAGTGGCAGGATAAGTAAAGGGAAAGGAAATGCTTTCAGTTCATGCTGATGGTGATTTTCTCCTGTGCTGTCCTCACAGCAGCCTCTGATAGTTGTCACACCTTGCACACAGCAATACATACCTATGTAATGCAATTTAGGATTTTTTTTTTTTTAAAGACAGAAGAGGAGGCTTAATTTTACTGTTGCTAAGTAAAATGTTTTTTATTAATTTTGGACCGATTATATTCTGACTAGCTCTGTGATACCATAAAGGCTGAAGTGACAATTAAAATTTTTATTTTAAATGGAAACAATGCTTATTTCAGTGGTTTGGGTTTTTTGGTTGTCTTCATAGGATTCCCATCTTTTTCTAATTGCTTTTGGATATTGTAAGATACACACATGCACAAAATTACTCTGAGGGGAATAGACCAAGATATGTCTGAGGAGGTAAAAAATAGCTAGTTATATCAGTGTTTGCTTAGAATATTTCAAATATGCATCACTTAATACAGAAACTTTTTTTGTAAGCGTTTAAAAGATTTTCCTTCACTGTTTTCATGTGGCTGTAAAGCTCTTTCCACTTCAGACTGGCTGAGTTATTTCTCCTTTCTTCTTGTTACAAATGGAGAACGTGTATTTCTTGTGCAGCAGAACAAAGCATCGCAGTTAGTACGTACCATTGCCTTGGACCTACTCAGAGGAAAGCAATGCAGGCATTGGGAAAGGAGGAAAAAGGAAGGAAGCAAGGGACAGAAACTAGACTTACTTTAAGCAGAACTAACACAATTGCAACAAATTTAAATTTACAGAACATTTTGAAATTGACAAAAAAAATCAGTAATGAATTAACAGCAACATGCTTTTAGGGGCAGAAAGAGTCTCCTGTGCAAGAACACTGAAGTAGGTATGTGCAGTTTTACTTATCTGCCACATGATGGTATTATCTGCATTGGCCAGATCACAATATTTGAATGAAGTGATGCTAAAAGGGATTCCATTAAATATGCAGGTGGACTGATATAGCAATGCACTGCAATACATGAGAATTACAACACTGTGCTTGTCTGAATCTGAATGTTTTTAAGCAATGAGTGCTAGTACAAGTGAAAATCTTCTTAACATGAAGATAACTAAATTTCAATGCTCTAGATAAACCAGGGCAAGAATAACAAATTGGGGGCTTAACCCTCATTAGATTACAGTGTTTTGAACAAGAAGTTACTTTTCCCTTCAGCAATAACTGGGAGCTGCATTCAGAAATAAATAATTACGCGTTTACATCCTTCCATACCTGTTAGAAGGAAATAAGGCAGGAAAAGGGAAAATGAGAAGTTTTACTGAGGTGTACTTTCCTGGCTGAAGCAATGTCAGTAGCTAACAGAATCAGAAAAAACCCACACCAGTAAGAAGCCAGAAGCTACGCTGTGTCAGAGATCTGAGACAGGCTTAAGTGGCATGCAAGTTGGAGAGGGGCTGAGAGTTAGAATTAAAATTGCTCTTATTACATATAGTGCATTTTATACCAGTTTTCAGCTTCAGGCTTATCCATAGTCTCAACAGTATAAAGAATGAAGCTCTGAAGTCCCTCTCAAACTGTCAAGTCAAACTGTCAAATGAAATGTAGACAACAGCATGAACCAGAAATTCATTTCTGACTTCTCTCATTTTTATTTTTATATTACCACTTTTCCTACATTTAAATCTTTGGCCTATTATGTATTTGCAAAAGCATATATGAATGCAGAAACATTATTAAAATTTACCTACTTTCAGATGATTAAAACAATTCTTTGTTAACATAAGTGGGCTGGACTTTGAGAGTAATTAATACTAACAGGGAGGGGGTGGGGGTGGAAATCACTGTTATGTTACTACCATAGATGGTTTTATTTTTCTTTTAGTAACTGAAGATACTCTTTGTGCACAGTGTCCATCCTTGCATTAGACAAGAACGGACCACAATAAGAACAGAATGGCAGTTCAACGTACTGATAACAGTAAACTCCATTTCTTCTACCATGATTCACACATCTGCCTTCTAGAATTACTGTTTATGTAAGTTCAGCTGTAGGTCATCAGGGTTCCTTTGTATGCTTTGAAGAAAGTTCCCCATTAGGGAACAGAAAAAACATAGCAGGAGTTAGACTGGGACAAAATTAATGTGGTAAACATTCAATACTACGAAGAAAGTTTCTGAAATGGAGTCTGGTTTCCCGGCAAGCATAGTGTTGAACAACAGTATGCTCAAGATCAAGCAATACTTGGTTGGGCAGAGGGGAAGAGCCTACTTAACTAACTGGGTAGTCAGTATGATAAAAAATTACAGTTTTTATAATGAAAGATTTCAAATCATTAATAAGCTTCATTTCAACATACAACTACTTAGTGTTTACATGTTTGTTTGAAAGCTTGTTTTTATAGCTGAGCTAGCACACTGTGATAGACTCGGTTGCTCTCAAGCGATGATGAGACAATCGACACTACACACAAATAAAGACTAGAATTAGAGACTATTCTAGCTTTGCTTTTGCTATTCTTGCACCACACATGCTCATAGAGCACTGTTAGGAAAATATGCAATGTATAATATCAATGTATAAAAATGTTCATTTCTCTTACCATGATGACAGAAACCCCAGCAGATGTGTTATTTTGCTTGGGTAGGGTGTTATTAAAGTGCTGCTTCAGTTTACCTGTTACTTCAGCTTGCATATTATTCTCCTGGGAAGCATCATCCTGTGTAAGAATAAACACAATATTGAAGTTAGGAAAAAAACCAAAAGTATGTTTGAACGTAACTGAGTAAAAGAGAAGTTTTCTATTATTCTCGGGTCCTTCCTGCTTTTAAATACGAAGTAAGTGTTCAGACAGGCAGCCCACAAGTGAATGCCCTCTGCTACATGAGATATGTGTTAAGACAAATTAGAGGAAAGGAATGTAGCAACCACTGTTTTATGTATGAACTTCTATTTCTTAAAATGCCATGTGACACTGTATACTTTCAGTCCATTGATTTGTCCCACAATTATAAGCTGCAAGTTTGATTCAAGCTTGTTAAAAATAACATGCTTGAAATAATGTTAAAAATAAAAAGCATATTTGTCATTTGGCTTTCTTTTAAATCAGCATTTTAAATGGTCCATCATGTCCTAAGCATGGAAACGTTATACAGTACCATAAATACATTTGAGAAGAGCTGTTATGCATAGACACAGTCATTATAGTTGTCTTCTCTTGTTTGAGGGAACTCCATAGATCATATTCAGTCCCTCTTTTAAAATGTGTGTGGCAGTAAACATTGACTATGTACATGTAAACCTAGTATTTATTAATAATGAACTGATTTTAGATCAATAAGCAATGCACTTTGGTGTTCCCCATTGCTGCTGTCCAAAAAGACAAAGGACCCAGCAGCCATCAGCTTAGTGCCTATGTTAAATTAGGTATTTTATTTGCTAATTTTATTTCTCTTATGAAGCTTGAAGTGCTTCAAGAAACAGGAGATTGTACTTTAAGTGGCATTGCAGCAAGTAATATACCAACATGCACAACAGTGCTTCCACATAGACATTTTTTGTATCATAGACATGACTGTTTACTAGGTTGAATGTGAAATAACAAAAAAGATGCCCAAGTCGCACATCTGCCTGTCGTGTTACGTTTAAGCAGGGTTATAGCAACCCCCAGCACCTTCTAATCACAGTCAGCAAGTGATATCCTTCACTTGATTCTTTCAGAGCACAGAAGCTAACAGTGCTGTCAGAGCTGAAGCTAACTTCAGACTCTTGCTGTTCAATAAACAGAAATGGGCATAGTAGAAGTGTATTGCTGCTTCTGAAAACTACACTTAAATGGTTAGATTTACAGATTTAATATCAAATTAGAGACAAGTAAAATGTGCTTTACTCACTGACACCCAGGGATGGCTTAGGATCTGTGCTGCTGTATATCGGGCTTCAGCATTCACATGTAACATCAGGCTAATTAACTCCTTTCTTTAAAAAAAAAAAAAAAAAAAAAGGAAAAAAAAAAGAAAAAGGAAAAAAAATGAAAAGAAAAAAGGAAAAAGAAAGAAAGAAAAGGGGAAAAAAAAAAAAGATTTGAGGAGAGTAGGGAAGGACATTACAATGGAAAATATTGTTGCACTAAGTTCTTCTCAGTGCAATTTTCTTGCTACCTGGGTGAAAAAAAAACAGCTTACACCGATAGCAGAACAATGATACCAATGTGACTTTAGTGGAAGAAACAATTTGCCCTTTTTTGTTTAGAGTATGCTGGACAGCGTATTTCATGTCAACTTCCTTATTGTATTCATGTTTCACCGGGTCCTTTGAAACCAGATGAAAAGGAAATGTTACAAAAACCAGCTATAATGTTCCAGTTTGTTCTCTATATATTCATGCAGGTGACCAGAACAAAAACAAACCTGGGACAGATGAGATCCAATATGGGCAGTGTACATGCACATAGTAACAGTACATAAAGAGCACAAATCAGAGGCAGGAAACTGCATCTAAAATTCAAGAAACTGCTGAAATTATTTGAAAACTATGTTCTCTTCTGTGTTGCTCCAGAAGAATAAAAGACGTTTAACTTATTTCCTCAGCTAAGGATCACCTGGTATAGGAAAAACCAGACAGATAGAAAGAGGAGAATGCTTAATTCTACTAATTATATGGTTAATCCCAAAAGATTTGGTATTGTGGCTTTCATCATATTTTAGAGACACTAGAGCAGATGTCTTTAGCTTTATCAAATACTTCCATGGGCCCTCTCTTAAGAGTGCCTACAGATGTGATAAACCTTAAGAGGTCATTGATACAAAGCAGTCAGTAAAATAAAATAAAAAAACCAAAAACCCAAACCAACTTTCTTCAGTTGTTTATTCATTCAAGTTTCTTCTTATGCAACTAACAACTAGTTTACTGATGTAATTCCTGGTTCTACAAGCCTATTAAGACAATTAGGTCTCCCTCCCAAATGAACAACTTCATATACTTGGAGACAAATCCCCCCTCGAAAAACCTTTTATAGCCTTCAAATTGTCAGTCTTCATATTCTTATCAAGAGTATTTCAAGGAAATTGTTCATCACTTCAGTTTTGGGAAATGGCTTCTTCAAGCAGGTAAGTGCCAGGTCCTGCACTTGGGTCACAACAACCCCATGCAACACTACAGGCTTGGGGAAGAGTGGCTGGAAAGCTGCCTGGCAGAAAAGGACCTGGGGGTGCTGGTCGATGGCCAGCTGAACATGAGCCGGCAGTGTGCCCAGGTGCCAACAACATCCTGGCCTGTATCAGAAATAGTGTGGCCAGCAGGAGTAGGGAAGTGATCGTGCCCCTGTACTCGGCACTGGTGAGGCCACACCTCGAATACTGTGTTCAGTTTTGGGCCCCTCACTA